CGAGTGAAATCATTGCACACGCCAGTGGAATTTTCGGTGAAGTAATACTGGGAAGGCGTTTCTTTAGCTGGGAGGAATTTGAGAATTCATTATGAGAATTTCAAAAGTGAGGAAGTCATTTAATGCTAATAATGTAGTTGCCCTGCACTCACTATGTGGTTGCTGCAGATTACGCGGGAGAGCTAATCGCACAAATGGACCATTTTCTTAATGTGTAAATTAACTACTATCGTATTACAATAAAAAACTTTTCCTATTAACATTGTTGTCTTCCTGTTCGTGTGTTCGCGTTGAGAGTACGGCATGCTAGACCGGTGCTCCCTAGGATATGGATTCGTTACTATACATAAGTGCAACTCTGTAGGAACACTATCCATCGATAAAAGTGGTGAATTATAAGTACTTCATTCAAGTCTAAAAATCTGCCTAAAGTTACGCGATTACGTCTCCTAATCACAGATAAATCTGTAGGGACTAATGACAAAAATACCTAACTTCAGTATTTGAAAAATAAGAATACAACTTAGGCCCTGCAGTTGAGTTCGATTTCGTATGAAGTTAAGTATAATCACAAGTAGTGTATTACTGTTATTTCACTTAAAGCGTGATGTCAGTCCATATGACTACGGGTGTTAACATATAATGTAAAATGAAGTCTACACGAGACGATTAATTTAATAGGTTGAGCTGTAGCAATATTAGTACGATTTCGCTTACGTTTAATTATGCCTACAATTACTTTCTCAGGTCTCATTGGTAGGTCAGGCCTCCATCTCGTCATATTGACAAATTTAGTTTCGCTGAGATAGAATAAGAAAAGTATGGTAAGCAGGATGTTAAATATATTTAGTGAAAAATAATAAGCGAATGTCTTTACACAATTGTTTTTCGTAATCACTTCGGGGATGCGTATTTGCTGTGACCAGGTTGACTGACTTCACCGAACATCTGCAAGTAAGTGAATAAAGTGTAATTTCTAAATCGTTGAAGTTAGAAATAAGTAATGTAAAAGTTAAACGCTTTACATTTTCCTACCTTTGCTGAAAAAGTTTCATTCTCCTTTCTCATTCTTTGGTCATGACAGCATTCTTCTGCGGTTTTCAGTGTCACACACATTGTTCATCTTCTAAAGTATAGCACCAAGCAAGTAATAATTTAATATGTCGTATAAACGGGTGTTTACAAGGAATGCATGGCATCTCTACAGGCACAATAAGTTAGGTTATAAATTGCAATCACCTGAGCGATTTTAACCAGAAACTTCATCGAAATGGATATGATCATCAAGAAATTCAGCAGATTGTCTCATTCATCGCATGCTCTCTTCGATGTGTTATGGAATATTTCAATCATCACGGATGATGATAAAAAAGTGTTTGGGCATCCTTAAAACGTAAATTTAACTTGTGTCTGTGGGCTACTTCTTCTTCAAATGTCTCGTTATCATAGAATAACTGCTATGAAAACAATCATTGCCTATGGGTAATTTTCAACCTTAATGTCCTCAAAAAAACTAGCAAATAACAAACCATTACGGTTCTAAAACGCAAATAATAGTCTTTCTATGCTTAATTTCTTATACACGATGAGATCTTGAAGTAATACATCTTCTGGGATATCATAACAGTTTTATCCATTAATACGAACACAATTTGGGAAAATGTTGCTTATTCGGCTATAGAAGCCTGAAACCACTCATATATCATCTACTTTCACAAAAATAAACGCTTATAACGCCCCTATAGGCGTGAACACGATAACCCATACAGTGCGCGATAATATATTACGATAACGTTTATCATCACCCCTAGCTTGAAATCGTAACACTGAAGGAGTAGGCTTTGTCGTAAATGCATTGCGGCCAATTCCTATCAAGACAAGCCACAGATGGAACATGAGCTACAGGTACTCAATAAAAAGCATGGAACCACGAAGTCTTTTATTGGAAAAGACTGTCTAGAAACTACTTTCTGTTAATTGGTAGTGTGATAGCATACGTTAGGTTCCTTTGGTTGGATATTCTTTAGCGTCGGCGGCACGGTGGTTAGGACTCTCGCCAACGATGCACATGGTTCAGGGTTCGATCTCCGGCCGACGCACAGCTGATATCTATGGTTGGAATGCAAAATTTTGGCTACCGATATCCATGCTGAAAATTCCATACTTGTACTGAAAATACGGTGTGACATCAAGCTGTAATCAAAAAAAATTAAACAATATGAACATATACACATGTGTTACCATAGGGTTGAGCTACAATAACAAAGTCTAGCCCAACGACCAATCACAGCAGACTTAGTGTGGGCGGATACGATTAGTAGATATATTTATTTTTTATTTTTATTTTTATTTACAGCTTGATTCCACACCGTATTTTCAGTACAAGTATGGAATTTTCAGCATGGATATCGGTAGTCCAAATTCAGGCCGACCATAGATATCGGGTGTGCGCCGGCAGGAGATCGAAACTCGGACCACGTGCATGTTCGGCGAGAGTCCTAACCACTGTGCCACCGACGGACTGTCTAAGAAACGGCAACAAAGAGATGACAGAATAACCTTCAGCAGGAAAACAACCAATCAGAAGACGTTGCCTCTCTGCTAATAATAACGAATAATAATGTACATAAAAATCTATAAATATCTGTTGATTTTCTAAATAAACGATCTGTTACCTGGCCGTTGTCTTCTGTCGTTACTGTAGTACAGTTTGCCTTAATCATCAAAGAACAATTCATTCGAATTAACTGTGCGCAATAGATACTGCTACGGCGAATCCAAATTCGAATGGATGCAAAGAACCGCTTTGTCTGCATGTGAGATGAAGCAGAATTCCTGACAAAGGGTGTTATTTTTTACATGAGCTCGTCTGGCGTTTGCGATTCCACTGTGACAATATCTGGAAATCTCATAGAGTAACACATTGTCTGTTAAAAGCATTTTTTTCATCATGAACGCAGAAGAACCAGAAAAAACAGCGTCAGACCATGTGAGACATCTGACCCTGAGAATTTCGCTAAATGTCTAATTTCGGGGTGGAAGAGGACATAATAAACTATACTAAGAAGATAATTCGTAGATAGTCCTATAATTCTTTGCAGATTCATAGCTGTTAGGTATAGCTTCAGTGAAGCAGTTCCAGGACAGTAAGACTTCAGGCAGTTGAGCGGAGACAGATGCCCTTAGTTTCACCTTGGAAATGCGGTTAACAAACAAAAGAACGTTTCTACATGCACATGGTTGAGTTTGAATTCGTAGGGATTTCTTCTCTCCTCATAACTGGGAAAATGGTTCTGGGTGTGCTGACCGAATTCCCCTTAGAACGGTGCCGAGGATGGAATTCCATAGGACTGTCTTTTACCAGTTAATGTTCTTAAGCTTTGTTTCGCAACTGGCGGGCTATTCGAGGAGTTGCTGGACAAACAATCGTTGTGCACTGGTTAGGGTTAAGCTTCAATGGTACATGCTTCTAACACGATGGTTGACAGAACACTAAGCACTATGCACTTTTTTATTTAATGCCAGTGTCAAAAGTAATGCAATCCTGAAAGACATTTGGATCAGCAACTTGCTTCAAGGGGAAAATAGATTCGAGTTGGACTGATCCTGCATTGATAATACTTTGGCAGCTTGAAATAAACGATCAGCATGTTGACACCTGAGCATTCCAGTCAGTGACTTGTTTATAGACTCTCTATCACCATAAGCTGCACACTGTAATATTTCTAGAATGAGAAACGGCGAATCACTGGTTTTGTTTGCGGCCAACCTGGTGGAAATCGATAATTTCGCATGATGAATTAGGCACAGCGCACACGGAAACAGAAAGTCACTGAAGCCCCACAAAAAGCACCCATTGGCTCACTATTGTCCCCGGTGTACGTCAACGATGCTCCTTAAGTGGAATATGCATGAGTTTACCAGGAAGACAAAAGTCCCCATAGTATCTACCTCTACCACACACATGCACACACAGTTTGATATCAGGCCATTCCTGGGGCATAAACTAAACAAAAAGGCTAGTTATGCATATGACTTAGTACGTGGGCGAAATTCAACTTTAGATAACCAAGTAGCATGCATGCAAAAATGTACACCCAATTGAAGAATGGCAATAAGACCATGTGGACAATACGGTACTTGTATAAAAAATCTGAAAAAATTGCAACGACATTGAACATAATATCTGCCTAGTTTTAGGTTAGGTTGTTAAAAGATAACATTGGGTTTAAGGTGAGTACGGATTTCAGTCTAGTTAACCTACACAACAGGTAAAACAGTTAGTTAAGTGTACGTCAAATTTCCTCTGAAATGAACTAATGTACCTCCTTTTACTGAATAACGCAGATCAGAAGTAATGAATGTGATAGAATATATTTTATTCAGGTAAAACTTTGGAGCTATTCTAGAATGAAAGAAAGTAAGAGTTGAGAAATCCAACCGGTAAGAATTGGATATTGAAACGTTGCGCTAAATTTAAATGTAGGTGTAAGTTTTCGTGAAGCGTATATATCTAATAGAATTAGGCTTGTAGTAAGTAATATGAGATAACGCTTTTCATGCAACCATAGCATTTGTCATAAAAGTGATGATTCTGTTTTATTCGTGTGAATATCATCAGGGATCACAACATATTTATATAAATTAGCTTGCGTTTTGTTTCATGAAGGTGAACACTAACCCTACCTGTGGGCTGTTCGACTTTAACTTCCATGAGTACATCTTTATGTATCTGTTAGTTGGGTATCCCAGGCACATGTGTAGGTGTGCTTTTCTATGGTTGCAGGCATGTAACTTCTATTTTTGTCTTCATGAAGTTACGATAAGTATTTTGACACTAAAGACATTCCGTTTTACGTCACCTCCACCTTCTGAAAACTATTTTACTGCTCTGTTTACGATTTATGGCACGGCTAATAGGAGCTGTAGCTTGCAGTATATAGCTGTTCACATATTAGTAGGCCTATAAGCTGAATAATTGAACAATCAGAATCCTATAGGTGGTTTTTCCGATAGTAGAACTCTGGTTAGTCTCAGAAGAGTGATAATACCGTAATCGGTGGAGTGAAAGCCCACGGATTGATAGTCTGTCATACAGAACTTATGATACTGCAATGCAATATTACAATACTAGTAGTCATAAAGTGCGCAAACAGTAAGTGCACAGAGAGCCAGTTCTCTCCTCTTCAGAGTGAGTGGAGACGTGTGGTGCTGATGACAACCTAGTTGACGGAATTTTTCAGATTTTATGGACTGTGAAATGAAGAAAAGACAGTACTTCTCATGTTATTGCTTCTTGTTAGTCAGCTTTCCACAGGTTTATCATGGTATACGTGATCACGATTTCAAAGTGTTCACCAAGGCTGGCCGTGGACTGCAGACAATGAATGTAAGTGCAGAACTTGGGCAATTTGGTGGAATGTAATTCTGCATCAGATATGTTTATTTTAATAATCACAGTGATGCAATATTGACAACTGGATGACGTCTCGAGCATAAATTATTGATGCTCATAATCACACTAATTTAGTCACACATTTTCACAATTTGTCTTATATATATATTCTTTCTTTCTGTCTCTCCAACTTCTCTTTGCAAGCTCAGGCATTAAACTGCATTCACTTGCATGTAGTTACAAAATAAGGTGCGGCAGGGTGAGAGTACTAAAAAGTAATATAGTTATGTGGAGAGAGGTTAATCACTGAAGTTTTGTTCATCGACTCAACATCGCACACATGCAGTCGGAATGACGCAGCTCCTATACCGAAGGTATGGAAGATGGCAACAGACAACAAAGGGAAGTTGAAGAGACAGAAAGAGAGAAAATATGTATAAGACGAATTGTGGAAACATGTGTCTAAATTGGTACGAGCAGTAATTTATGCTCGAAACGTCATCCAGCTGTTAATACTGCATCACTGTGAGATTATTAAAATAAACTTATGTAATATGGAATTGCAGACAATGAAGATTTCTTATATGTACTCCTGTAACCGATTTTTCTAAAGTGTTTGCTGCAGCTATACGATACCCTCAAATACTTTATTGATGTGTGCCTTTCATTTACCCAAAATTTTGCGGGTGAGAAAATATAAGACGCATAAGCATCACTTGTCAGTTCCGTGAATATCCCTTGTGAAAAGATATAAGGCCTCAAATGTTTTCACAAATCATTTCATCGCAGTTTCGTTAGATTGTTATGACAACAAGAAATGTTGCTTATATCATTGATTTCTCCTTCATCCCCCATTATTTCAACCGGCGAAGTCATTCCTAATATCACTGTCCTTATTTGAATTCATCTCAAGTACACTGGCTAAAGTGGGTCTTTTCAATAATTTCTCTTCAGGTTCTTGCAATTATAAAATACATTTGTTGTCGTTACAACAATGTCCAGTTTAGCGGCGAGTACATTTCTACATTGTCTCCCAATTTACAATATTTTGTAATATAATTCAGCCTAGAACGTTTTCACAGAAATAATATCTATTTGGTTAGCTTTAACTATTCTTTTATTCTATGGAAAATGTATCCGGTGCATAACTGGCCGTTATTGTAACGAAAACAAATATTTCATAATTGTAGGAACCTGAAGAGAAATTATTGGAAAGAATATTCTTCGTTCAGATTGACTTTTAAATTGGATCTTTTTGATTTGAATGACACAAGGGTATTTTATATTCTTTTTGATTACAACTTGATTCCACATCGCATTTTTTGGTACAGGTATGGAATTTTCAGCATGTGATATCGGTAGCCCAAATTTAGCAGGCCAACCATCGATATCAGGTGTGCGTCGGCCGGGGATCGAACCCCAGACTATGTGTATGGTTGGCGAGTGTCCTAACCGCTGTCCCTAGTCTTAATGATATCATAGACAGGAAGCCGTGGACCTAAGCTTCCTGCCTGTTAACACTCATCATCTGAATTTTTGAAGTTGTGAATATCCCTCCTGAGATTCGAATCCGTATCGCACACTGTTGCGATCAGAGACGTTACCACTGAGCTTTTCGAGCTCCCAGTTGACCTCCTATAGGACTGTGTTGAGTACTTTGATTGGATACTAACTAACAGGGTGGCCACATTGTAAACTTGACTGACAGAATTTAGTCTGGAGCAAACGAAAGACTCGACTCATGACACTATCTAGTGTTCGGTTTTGAAGCTGTTTGGAGTTTTCATATCACTGCTGTATGAACAGTTCCACTGACTTCTATTGATGACTATTGTACGATTTTGTACTAGTCATGGTGAAAAATAATCTCGTACATGCAAATGTATTATATGTACTGATAAAGATTGTTTTCTGGGGTGTACTGAAACACCAGAACACTCGTAATGCAAATCTTTATTTTTGCTTAAAAAACCATTAATACTTTCATCCTAAAGGACCAAAACAATCTTCCTTTAGTTACCTTCATCATATTGTGACTGTGATGGTTCTATTTCGTAATTTTTTGTGTTCTTTTTAACTATAACAACTTGTACTGGTATACTTAGGCTTTCGCGCAAATCAGTGATAAGATGAAATCAGCTATCACATTAAACCTCAACGAGATTTGTGCAATGATTCACCAGCAGAATTTTCTGATACCTTTAACCACTAATGTTCTAAGTTAGCCATATTATATAGTCACTACAATTGATCAATATCTCCTATAAAGATTCTGAAAAAAATTCTGCGTTGCTCATTTCCCTTAATTATTAAACAAAAAGTTTACAAAACCTAAGCAACTATGAAAGGATAAGCTTTTCTGATGAAATGAGTTGCTTGGAGGACTTCATCATGAGCCGACATCAGTTAGAGAACCATTGGAAAACCTGCAGGGAGTACTGGACAGCTGTTTCGTACAACTGCCTCCAAAGTCTCAGGATGGTCGGGGTGGGTGCCTTGCGCTACGGGTTGGCCACCCCTCCGCACACCTCTTGAAATGCTCTCATATGACCGGGAGTCTTACATAGCCTCTCCTGAGGAAGTCCTACTCACTGCCTTCACGTGGCGGAGGTATTTTTCACCAAAATGAGAGGGCGAAAGCGGATGCCCGGCGCTCTTCACCGGGTTGACTGTCCATTGGTTGACAGTCTAGGGGAGATGGCTAAACCCTGATTCCAAACATCCAACGACTGGCGTATGAAGCTCACTGGAGCTCACCGGCAGACGTATGGACAAAGGGCTTGTTGGATGTCCTGGATGTCTGGCCTCATTCAAAAAGGCGTATGAACCGAACTCCGGCCACCGGCTGCCAATGGATAGTGGACTCCCTACTCCACTCCTACTGCCTTGTAGGTCACACTTGGTTGTGTAAAGGCTAGAGCTGCACTCTCAAACAAAAAGGCCGAGCGATTCTGGGGACATCACTCGTACCAAATTCCCATGAAACTTCATGAACTCTCTTACAAACGACTCTCCGCGCCTGGGCAGCGATGACTCGAGATGTTCATGAAGCCGGCTCATCCTCCCGTAGGAGATAGCCGAAGTAAAGCTAAGCTACAAAACCAATACTTGAAATGAATAGCATTTTTTTCTTTTTTCCTCTCGTATGTTTCAGAATTAATAATGCCTCCTGCTTGGCTGTGTATCAAAGATGCTGCTATTCTGACTATCGGTGTTATTGTCTACTTTTTTGTCAATCTAATCAACAGCATTCGTCTTTATCTATTTCCTGTCTATAAATCGTTGAAAAATGAAGTGATTCTAATAACTGGTAAATTTTGTTAATTGTTATTATTATGACTTCAAAACACATTATTGTGTTTGTTAGGCGCTGCTAATGGATTAGGTCGTCTATTGTGTGTAGAATTCTCAAGACACTGTCCAACTATTCTAGCCTTAGACGTAGATGAAATTGGCCTGAAAGAAACTGCTGAATTAGTAGCCAATACAACTGGCTGTCAGATAAAAACATATAAATGTAATCTAAAGTACGTGTGAATATACATTATTTGGAAAAAAACATCAATTAATTCGTTTTCTTCAAGAGATAAACATGAAATTGATAAGGTTGTTCGATTAATAAGGAATGATTTCGGCAAAGTTACCGTATTGGTGAACAATGCTGGTATAACAAATATGGGAGGATTTTTCAGATGTAATCGAGAACAGTTTGAAGATTTAATCAAAGTAAATACGCTTGCTCAGTATCATGTAAGTTGCCTCTTGTTGTTGTTTGTTTTTTACATACCTATTTTCAATTAATTTTAAAAAGGGGTATTGTGCTGAAGAATGCATTACTCTTAATTGCATTTTTGTAGTCTCTTTTAATTATTCTGAAACGTTTTATGTAGTTTTCATGTATTTCTATAATATTTTTTTAAAATTCTTACAAAGACTTGCCTATATTCTCTGAACATACACGTTTTGTTTTAGAAAATAAAAACATTCTGTAAAGTGAAAATATTGTTAAGAAAAAGTCATCAACTATCATCACTTGATTTTCTTTTTTTGTAATACTCACACATTCTACTACTTTTTTTAGTTTTAGTCTGTTTGGTTACCATCCTGACTCAGATTTCAACAGGCACACTTGAAGTGGAACTGGACAACTAAGACGTTACTTACCGTTGCAGTTTATTATTATTTTTACTCCTTTAGTTCCCGAGTGGAACATACAACTTCAGCCCATCTGTATTTCATCTTGTTCTATGTCCTCTTTTTCACCTAAATCTGCTATTGGTCATCAGTTTTTATTTTACTCCTTATACGATCGCATCCGTGTCACCCTGTCACCTGTGCACAAACTGTTGTTTCGAATTTGGGTCCCATTCATTCAAGGGAATGCCTAGCGTGTCATGTCATTTAACGGTCTTTTCAACGTTTCTCTGACCTAGCCCTGTCTCTTTCTCAATATATTTGTTAAGTGATAGATTCTTAGTTGGTTTATAGACCGATAAATACCATGATCAAATTCAGCAAGAGAAGAGAATTTTAACTAGTAGTTGACTTGTTTCAAAGTCACTGAAAGAAAGAATAAAAGGAAGTCAGTGGAGTCAGATAACAAACAAAATGAACCAAAAATGATGGAAGCCAAAGGAAAATAGAGAAAACAGTAACAAAATTAAGTAAATTAAAGGAATATCCTTTCCGATAATTTCCTCTTCTGACTTTACAGTTATATATATACAACTTTATATACATAGAATATTCTAGAATAGTAGTCAATAACAATATTTGTGTTACTTTAAATAATATCGATTGGTAAAGTAAGATCACAATGGAATTACAGTTCATTAAAGATGCATAAATAATAATAATAATGAAGATATAGTGGCGAATGGAATATAAACCAAAATTAGGGAAATTTCCACAAAATTTGAGGATCATTCAAACCGAGATGGCCAGCGGGATAAGGATAATGTCTGAACTAGCTTCTTTCGGACGCATAAATGTTGATCCCAACAGCCTCAGCAAAATGTAGTAGGCGAACTCTTAATGTGAAGTTTAGATTGTTTGCTATGTGGTAAATGACTTTAAAAGCCTCGTTGACATCAATCTTGTGTTTTATGTTCACAAGATGAAGTAGAATGCCGCTACGAATAGATTTTGTTTGTCCTTTACTTAACCACCGTGCAGTATGATGTTCAGAAATGCGACAATAAGTACGCCTAATTGTACAGCCCATGTAACTGGCTCCACAAGAGCAGTCAAATCGGTAGATACACACAGAAGAGGCAAAATTAGGCAGTTTATTTTTTACTCGCGAACGCAAAATAGGGGTGGTTTCGAAGACGCAACCGTTGAGATCCGCATTAAGAAGCCTAATTTATGTATCTAAAATATGTTGTTTGGTTCAGAAAATGTCCTTACCTTGACCATCAAGGTTCTAATGATCCTCAAATTTTTGTAGAAATTTCCTTAATTTTATTTCACATTCTATTTACTATCACATTTTTATGCTCCTTATTATAATTTATGCATGTTTCGTGAACTGTGGCAATTTCACTGATCTCGCTTAACAAATCGATATTATTTAAAATAACACTAATATTGTTATTGACTATTATTCTAGAATATTCTATGTATATAAAGTTGTATATATAACTGTAGAGCCAGAAGAGGAAATTATCGGAAAGCATATTCTGTGCTACATTATTTTGTTTTTTCCTAGATGTCTGAATGAATATTTTCTTTAAATTTTTTTCGGAGGTAAAATGGACTTATCTCTTTTATTCTGATTCGCTTTCAGACACCAAAATATTGATTTTTAAGCATTTTGGAAATTTGATCGCTCTACCTTACACTTTTCCCATAACTCCGTTGAATCCAACACAATTTATTATAATCCCTTCTAATCGGATTTCAATTGTTTAGTATGAGTGAACTGTGTCAGGTGTTGTATAACTTAAACTAGACTCGTTAGTAAATAAATGACTGTTAATTAACATTTCATATTTTCGAGGTGGAAAAAATACACTTAAGAATCCTCCTGACAGTCTGAAGAATTTCGCATAAAAAATAGCATAAAATGAATTGAAATGCAATATATGCAAACACTGCATGGAATATTAGCGGTTGGTCAATGAATCAGAGGTAATCTTCCTCACTAAATCACCGAATACAATATCCGTTCTTATTCTTTTATTCAAATAAGCATGATATTTTCGTCTATTTATACACAGACGATAAGGATTGAGCGACTGCATACAGTTCGCCGGTGCCAAAACATCTCTTCGTTTACACTGATAGCTTCAGCGCTGGTTACTACTCATCCCTTTGAGTTCCAATTGGGACATAGTGCTCCAACCTTCGAAGCTTCAGAAGTATCGGTGTCTCTGTCTACAGGATGAGGTAACTAGCGTTATGCCCAGCATTCCTAGGTGAAGTTTAGAAGTGTTTCGGCCGGGAATCGAACCTTGGACCATGTTCATGGTTAGCGAACAATCTACCATTGAACCATTGACGTACATTGCGGTTATATATAAAGAATGGACTGATAGGTATATTTTTAATAATACCAATGTATATCGCCTACCAACACCTTGTCTGCTTTCATCTGAAGATCACGCTTTGAAAAGAACAACCGGAAATCACTCTACTGTAAAAATGAACTATAAACCTTTTAAAGTTTCACTTCATTTTCCAGCAAAATTTTCCGGATAGATGTTACCTAATTTCTATTTATGTATTACTTAATTCTTTTTTTAACAGCTTACTAAGGAGTTTTTACCATCAATGTTAGGCAAAAGGTATAATCCATACTCTTCTGTACAGTCATCTGAAGAACCGCATGGTCATATTGTTTGTTTGGCATCTATATGTGGTGTAATGGCTTTTCAAAGTTTTCCTATTTATTGTGCTTCTAAAGCTGCAGTCCTGCTGTTAATGGAATCATTAGAGCTAGAACTTGCAAGTTTGGGAATTACAAATGAAATATGCATTACAAGAGTATTACCATACCTAATTAAAACAAATATGGCCAGTGTGATAAGTGGAACGTGAGTTTATCATTTTTTTGTCTTACTAACTATAATGTAGATTCTCTTTAGAATAATATAATATCCATTTTGTATTGTTTTATAGGACTGATATCAGAGTACTTGTTTTCCATTTTTTTTTATTCCTTTACGTTCCTAGTGGAACATAGGGTGGCTTTTAGCTAGAGGCTTGAAGCTGCGGTAGGCAGGGGTGTTTACTTTTACGGGATGGCGCTGCTAGCCAGCCTCATGCATCGGTGACACAGTGGTTAGGACTCTCGCCGACCATGCATCTGGTCCGGGGTTCGATCCCCTGCCGACGCACACCTGATATCTATAGTCGGCCTGCAAAATTTGGGCTACCGATTTCACATGCTGAAAATTCCATACCTGTACCAAAAGTACTGTGTGGAATCAAGCTGTAATCAAAAGTCAAAAATTAAAAATTAAACCTTCCCTCCTTACCAGTCTTATTACTGGCTTAGCTAGGTAAAGGATTGCGTCGGCCGAGGACTGAACCTCGGACAAAATGAGTGGTGGGCGAGCATTCCAACGCTTTCTTTTCCATATATACTTTTATTTAGAGGAAAATAAAGACTGCGCTAGAAACCCTACGTGTAGGATTCCTAATAAGGTTGCAATTGGGCTGGTATTTAAACTAACTAATTCACTCTGAGACAAACTTTGTCGGCTTAGAGACTCGACAGATGGAATTTACCAAATACTATTTCATGGCTGTGAGTTTAACTAAATAGATCAAACTAGTAGATGAAGGTCAGTTACATCAGTGGTACATAAACATTTATCTAGAGCTAGAATGTCTGATCCTACATTATTCTATCAAACTTGCTGAAGTGAATACAAGCATGAACTTCTTCAAAGACTGTATTAAGAATCATGAATATATCCTAGGTGGTTTTTAAAACCACTCTGGAGGCATCATAAGGTTCTGAATTCAGAAAGGTATCAACGCCACACTAGACACGTCATTGATTCTGTTAGTTCGCATATATATTCGATCTGAAGCAAAACAGTATCATAGAGATTTTCTACTCTTTGCGAATTGTCATTATTAACTGAGCTTCTTGTGCTTCTCCCTCTAGTTATCCTGGTGAGTACTTTCCATGATTTAGTTATGAGGAGTTAATTGTGCTCGGAAAGTTTCATTTAGCTATCAGTGCTGTATCTTTGTGCATGAGATCGAATTCTACACTGTCGAAACTACTAAATGTGATATTCTAGTTATTACTGGACCAAATGAATTATGATACACTGGCCCAAAGTTTATATTATCTTTGTCTACTTATATAAGCTCTAAGACTTAACTCTCTCTGACAACTGCAAAGAAAATACAAGCAGACTAGTGAATGAAAAAGATAACTAGACATACTGAAATGCCTTTTAGCAATTAACAGTTGATTATATATTGAAAACTAAGCAATGCTAAATGGCAAAGTAGCCGGATGAATCCTCGGTCAACATAATGCTGGGAGTGCAGCTATGCCTGACTTCCACAGTATTTAAATTCCTCCAAGGGAAAATATACAAACAAACTGAGGACGTTGCCGTGGGATCACTAATATCCCCGTTTGTAGCAGATATATTCATAGATAGGTGGGAAAACATAGCGATTGAAACGTTCACCCACACCCCACGTCGAAGTAAGGTGGAGGTATGTAGATGACACATTTACTGTATTTAGAACACAGGATATAGATAGATTTTTCGAACACATTAACTCAAAGGTGGAGGCAATTCAATTCAATTATGAATTATAAAGTCAGGAAGGGGAGCTTCCAATGTTAGATTGAAGCATGAAAAGAAAGGAAGATGGGAAGTTAAACACTAGTGTTTACAGGGAACCCACACATTCAAACAGATATTTGAACTTCCAGTCATCTCATCCTATGTCAGTAGAAATCAGATTGGTGAAATGTTTAAGTAATAGCGCACAAAAACTAAGTAGTATCAAGGAAAATCTAAGGCAGGAAGTGAGACACATAAGAGAAGCCTTGAAACTTAATAATTACCCGGATAAATTAGTCAGGAAATATGTAGGGAAATGAAAAATTAAATAAATAATGATAGCAGGGATAGTGATAATAATAATAATATTAATGAGGACATGCATGTCGAATATATGCAAGACAACACCGACATTAAGGAATCTAAATCATCAGTAGTAATTCCATACAAGGATGGAACTTCGGAAACCTTACGCAGAATTCTTAAAAAGGCAGGCAGGAATATAAGTGGCTGGCGCTCAAACCCACTAACTCAATTAGAAACAAGCTTTGTCGGTTGAAGTATCAGTCCTGTGAAGCCGTTAAAGCAAAACAATTTAGTTTATCTAATACCCTGCCGGGATGATTGTCAGGTCAAAGACATAGGTCAAACTAGTAGAACAGGGGCAGTCAGACTAGCGGAACATAAAAACCTAACAAAACCTAGACAGTAGTTCAGCTATACCACTCACTACATGCAGTTACACACAACCATACAATAGGATGATGGGATAGGATGATAGTTTTAAAATCTAATGTCACAGGGTGGAGGGAGAGATCGATAACAGAAGCTTTGTTTATCGAATCAACTGCAAATACATGTCCACCCTAACATCTGGCAAATTCTACTACCCCTACGACGACAAATAGGAGAGGACAAAGAAAACTATAAAACTCAAGTTTTGAAGTCGTGTGATTTTAATTGATGATATGATTATGAACAGCAATAAATTTTGTTCGAAACATTGTCATCCAGTTGTTAATACTATTTTATCACTGTGTGATACATCTAATAAACAAACTAATATGGAATTACTTACTACCACTGCAGTGCCCAAGTTTTACACATATATTAACTTTGTCAACCTTGTTGTCTAGACGAAAACAACATTTCATACCGACTACTACATACACGATGTTAATGCAAGAGTTTGATTCGTTAGGTGGTTGGAGGCATTTGGCCACTCGTCAGCAAGGCATCGGACGGTAATGGTTACTTCGATGGGACATTTGGTAATAACTAACTAATAAAATGTGTCTAACCCTAGATGCATGATATTAGTTACTGCCAAGTGTCCAATCAAAGAGTTTGATTTATAAAACAATCTAAAGGATAATGGCCACTGTCTCCTGCAACACTTGTATCTCATGGCTTTTATTTATTAGATATTAAGCCTTCAACTAACGTAAGGATTCAATTTCCTTTAATATTATTGGTCAGTTCGAGTAGATTATTTGTCTGATATCACTGATGATAATTCTTCGTCTAGTCATTATTATTATTATTCCCATGGATCCAGAACTTCAGAAGCACTCTTTAAAAGTCGAAACCGTTGTACGCCGACTCTGGATTTCCTATCATTGCTACCTCTGTAGAACTGCTTCCACCCCGTGGCATCATCATATGAATAATTCTGACATCAAGAGATGTATGTGTGAACACAGTTAAGATTGTCTCGCAATACGTACTATCATCTTGGAATACTGGCTTCGGTAGCTTGACATATGTAACTTGTGCTACATATGACATGGAGTCATGGGATGAAAGGTAGTCGTCTTAGGTCACTGAATTTTGGTGCATCTCAACTTCTTAGGTGGGAGTTCGAGAGATAATTCGAATGAGCCACTAAAGACATCATCAGATACAGCTGAGAAGCATAATAAATAGGGAGCACGTACTCTGCAATTTTCTCCTTTCCCTTCTTTCTTAAAGTAACATGAAATAATAAACCATTATTTGAATTCTTTTCATATATATGCTTATTTATTCCCGTGATGCTAACCTTCATTTTGTCAATAAAAGGTACCATGTTATCATTGAGTTTAGCTATTAATACTAGATTTTGGTGGTGAAGCTTCGAAATTCTCATATTTAGTAGTATTTCACAAAGGAGTCACAACTATGGATTTACATTTCACAATTGTTATTTAGGAAAGTCAACAGAATCAGACTTATTCATAAGTTTTCAAGTATTGGTTTTGTAGGGATTTCGTTTGATTGGTTGGAGGGTTTCATCATGAGCTGACATCAGTTAGAGAACTATTGGAAGACCTGCGGGGGAGTACTGGACAGCTGTTTCGTACAACTAGTTTGGGACTATTCAGCAGTACACACCCACCGCCAGGGTTCGAACTCATGACCTTCTGGTTACAAGGCGAGCTAGCTCGTAGGTAATTAAGCCGCTGAGACCCGATCCACTGGTCACTCCACGAATTCTAACTTCTGCCAATTCATGACATATCGTGACCACTTTTCATTGTCTTCTTCGATGAGTTACTGCCTGACCTTCAACCTGCTGCACCCTACTTGTCACGGCTCCCCACTATGAGTTCGCCTTGTAACCAGAGGGCTCTGGGTTTGAACCATGGTGGTGGTTGTGTACTGCCGAGTAATCTCAAACCAGTTGTATGAAACAGCTGTCCAGTACTCCCTGAAGGTTTTCTAATGGTTCTCTAACTGATGTCAGCACATGATGAAACCCTCCACCCAATCCTTTATAAGTGATTCAAAGTATGCACTGGTGCTATTCAGAGCCAGTAATATAGGTATCACTGCTCTATCACTGAAACAACTAGACCATTAAGGGTGAATACCCCTATTTTTGTTAGTGGTAATTAGCATCAGAATCCAGGATGCTTATTTCTTCCTGTTTGGGACTCGTCATCCGGACGCACCTCTATCCCCACTGGTATGCTTCGCCATCAGCTGAATGTCCCTTTGCCCTTATTACTTTACTATGCTATGAAAATGTTTTTGTTTTCGACTGACAATAATTTTTAACATTTTTCCCTTCCAAATATCTTTCATGTCTTTTTCTATAGTCGATCTGGTGTATTTGTTGTCAGTGACGCTAAATGGTGTGCTAAGAGAATTGTTGATGGAGTTTTGAAAAATGAACGAGTTGTTTATATTCCCGGTTATATGCGTATTTTTGCAATACTGAAACTGTGAGTAAATTATGATTCACTGATCAGATATTTATACATTTTATGTTGTTTTTTTCACAGAAATACTCTTCAGAAGTGTTTAAATCATAGTAGGCGCTTTTCAATTTTAAAAATATCGATTCACCTTTACTAATTCGGCTCTATCTAATTTAGAGTTGTGAAAATCGATGTTCACTCTTGTATTATTTGAACTGTGCTTATTTTGTTTATTGATTGAAGTGTGAACATCAAGCTGAAAAAGAAGGAGAAAATGTTCTTCCGCCTTTAATATTACTACTTCTACTACTGTAACGACAGAAGACAAGGGAAAGGTGACAGATCGTTTATTGAGAAAATCAAGAGATATTTATAGATTTTTAGGTGCATTATTATTAGCGTTATTGTTAGCAGAGAAGCAACCTCTTCTGATTAGTTGTTTTCTTGCTGAGGGTTAGTCTGTTATCTCTTTGTGGACGTTTCTCAGAAAATCCAGTCACATATCTGTGAATCATATTTCCACACTTCAACTCCCCTGTGATTGGTTGGTGATTTTCTCAAGGTTAAGCTTTGCTATTGTTTTTCTCATGAACTTGATTCAGGACGTGAACACTGACGAATATTATTGACTACAGTTTTTGGCTTGCAGACAACTCTCACCACACTACTACTGGCAGTCACAGTCAGTCTGTTAGGGCGCGGAATCATGTCACTGTCCACTTCAAACAAAGTAATAATTCGCGTCATTCTGGAGAGACTAAAAGACGCTCTGGGTGAGAAACGCCACTCCAAACAAGCTGGAATCGGGAAAAATCAATTAGTATTTGGATCAAATTAATAATAATAATAATAATTTACTTTATTCCAAAAACAGTACTTGTGATACAGAATGGAATTTTCAGCATTAATCACAATATTGCATCTAATTTCCTCAAATTACAAATAAAATTAATCACACAGAAAATGTTTCTACATTTACAATAGGGTTAGTATTTAAAAAAATAAAAAATAAAAAACATGCAACTTATAAAATGGAAATAATAATAATGGTAGCAGCTAAGGTAATGATAATAATACAAGTGGAAATTGCCGTGGGCTTGTTTCACACAGTATTGTCGATGCGGTATACAAATCCTTGCATGATTAAAAATATTGAATATGATGTTCTCTTTACATGATATGGTGAGGGAAAAAAGAACGATTACAGCAGTCATAGAGATAAGTTGGTGTTTGCAGTTATGAAAGTGAAAACAAAGAATCAACAGGACCATAAATGTAATAGAAATAATAAAAGTAAAACTTGAAGGTATATAAAGATGGATGGAGGAGATTGTTTATTTACTAGATGAAAAAAGGTTAGTCAATTCTTGCCTGACGCTATTTTCATCACATAAAATACGTGCCAAGTATGGTATCATCAAATTTTTATACTCAGACGTGCGAGCATACAGTTTTCTGAAGTTACTTCTTGTTCTACCTGAGAAGATGCAAGGTGAAAGCTGAGGGTGAAGTGGATGCTCCAAGTCAGACAAAATCCCTTTAGCAAATTTACTGCACGAAGTCAAATGCTTATCGACAACGACGTTAACTATGTGGTCCACTGGGACACCACTCATCCTACTGACAGTCTTCGGCATTCTACGAATTGTGACAAAGTCCTTTTTAAGCAAACCAGGAAAGAATAAGGGTGAACAATAAAGAAGAATAGGTAGGATGCAAGAGTTTATGAACTGTAAGAGGAGGGGTTGAGTTATACCCGAGTGCCTTAACTTTTTAATGTAAAATGTCAGGCGGAATATTTTACTGGAGATCGCTGAGACATGGGAAGACCAGGAAAGATCAGAAGAGAGAATAAGTCCAAGATACTTAATTTCTGATTTAATTCCCAAATCACTGTCGTCATTCTTACAACTGTCATGAGAATCGACGGCTTCTTTTAACTGTCTTTTACATTTTGAGCTGAAATTAACAGTTTGACATTTAGACCATTTACTGACTCTCGACAGAAAGCTATTTATTTTGGTACAACCTAGCTGGGAGTTAACAGCCACTGAAACAGTTAAATCATCAACGTACTTCACAAAGTTTATTTCATCACACTGAGGCAAGTCATTGCAGCACTATACATTATCATCGAACAGGGCATAGGATGGCCATGAAATCTCTACCTTAACATCATTGACTTTTAAAACGCCTTTAACATAGTTGACTGTGAAGTGATTTGGAAACTGCTTCAAAACTATGAAGTAGCCTAAACAATTATCAACTCCACTCAACAGCTGGCTATATGATGATATGACACACACCAAATGATTCATAAGTGAAAACTCAGAAATCCATTTGATGTACAGACAGGAGTAAGATAAGGCTGTCTACTATCATCAATGTTATTCCTGATTGTGGTGAGCTGGATGATTCAGCGAACCGTGAGGAGCACGTTGACAGGAATACATTGGCCTGAGAAGGAGACTCTAAAAGATCTGAATTTCGCGCAAACTCGATTATCTACAGGTAAAAACAAACAAATTGGCAGAAAAAGGAGGCAGTGAAGTCAGAACTTGAAGTGAACATAGAAAACACCGGCGATCAATATATCTAACCAACAACGATGAGCACTAATCATTGCCAGTTTTAAGGAAATCACTTCTTCTTCCGCTTATTTGGGCAGAGTCGTCTCCACGGCAAACAGCACGGTTAAGGATGTAAAAACCAGGATCAGAAAGGAAAGACAGACATTCATTATCTTGAAGTCAGTGTTGAGATCCTCTGCAATGGGTATAAAGAAGACGGTTCCGATTTTTAACACATATGTCAGGTCAAAGACTTTGCACATCACTGAAAGCATTTGCAACAGGCGTCAGAATTTTATCCACAGCTGCCTCCACTCGATAATAATGATCAAATGGTTAGACAGGAAGGGTAGGAAACATGAAACTCTTGTAACAAACCAAACAAAAACCTACTGACCAACGAATATTCCTAAGAAAATAGAGATAAATTGGGCACATGCTGAGAAGATCATTCAGATGACCATTGTTTACCATACCCTCGGGTGGAAACCGAATGGTAGATGGAGACTGTGTGAAGAGGAAATGACAGTCTATGGGCAATTATACAGCCAGCTAAAGACTACCAGAGAGACAGAGAACTGGATGAAATGGATATGTGCTGTTGAAGCCTTATCTTTTAATCAGGACCCGATGAGAATCAAAACAAAAGTCAGAAGTCGTTTTTCTTAAGACTAGCATTAAAATTTCTTTACTTACTGGCGTGGAATCATGCTCTTGTCCACCCATGCCAAGTAAAATACTAAGTCGCATCCTCCTGGAGAGAATAAAGGATGCACTGGATACATAACTCCACCACCCACTGGAACAAGCTGAACTCAAGAAAGGTAAAACATGTGCTGATGAAATTGCAGCTCTACGCAACGTCATCATCACAGAACAAAGCATAGAAGGGAAGTCAAACCTTTCTCTACCTGAACTTGCCTCTTCGACTTCGAAAAGGCCTTCACCAGACAGCGTTGACCAAGAAGTAATTTGGAAACTACTTCAACACTACGGCGCGCAGTAACAGCTGTATGACAATGAAACGTGTCAAGTGATCCACAACGGAAAACTCAACGAGGCGCTCAAAGTGCACACAAGAGTAAGACAAGCTGACTATCTATTATCACTCACGATGATATTCTTAATTGTGGTGGACTGGATTATGCGTCAAACTGTTGGGGGTAGGGAGTCGGGACCACCAATAATAAGACTCTAGAAGACCTGGATTTCGCTTGTGGATGATATATGTCTGAAGTCACACAAACTCGAAGACTTACAGGCACGCGAAAATCAACAAACTGGCTGAACAGGCTGACAGCGAAAACAGGAGTGCAGGTGAACATAGAGAAAGTGGAAACGGAGCTGATGAAGCTAACCAATCAGCAGCAACAACAACAACAACCAGCACCAATCACCATCAACGGGGGAGATTTAACAGAGATTGCCTCCTTCACTTATCTGGGAAGCATTGTCTCAACTATAGGCGGAACGGACGAAGATGTCAGAGTCAACGAGAATCAGAAGAGCAAGATACGCCTTAATCAACCTAAAACCAGTTTGGAAATCTTCTGCTGTCACTCAGAATAAGGAAAAAGATTCGCATTTTCAACACCGACGTGAAGTCGGTTCTTCTGTACGGGTCAGAAAATTGCACTGAGTGTTGCCAGAAATAATAAGCAGCAAGAAACTCTGCAGTGGAACAAACCAACTGAGCAACAGCCGATCGCTCAACAAATATGTAGGAGAAAGTGTAGATGCATTGATCGGGCATATGTTGGGGAGGCCACTGAATGATATCTCACGTAATGCAGACCATTGCTCAAGTGAAATCCAAATGGGAAGCGACGAATGGGTCGTCGGTGAGGGGGTGACATGAAGGAAGGAGACCGTGTGCGGAAGAAGAGATGAGAGAGTTTGGTCAATCGTGGACCCAGGTGTAGAGGATGGCAGAGAACAGAACAAAGTGGAGATGTGTTATTGGAGCCCTATGATGTTCCACTCTGAACGCAAGGGAATAATAATAATACAAGTTAGTTCATAAATGTGTGTTTAATGCTTCCCCGGTTACGACAGCCTTCTAATTACTGTTTAGTTTATAAGAAAATTCAAGTTAATCAGAATAAGAAATGATAAAAATAATGACTTAAATTTCTTCTTTTTCTTTCTTATTCTTTAAGCCTATCACCAGGTTATGCGTATCGTTATTTGCATAAAATGATGGCAAATGCACTGATCTTTGTTCAGAAGATGACCAGTTCCTGAAACAGTTCATCCAAAAAATAGATGCCTTCTACGTCAGTGTTAAACTCTTAATGTTTGAATGCAATCATACTTATATATACATAATACTTCATCAAATTCAAGGTTGTTTTCCTATCTCATAAATTATGTCATACCTTACATTTGAACAACAACAAGTAATCATGTTATTTAACACCACGTCATAGTCGTAGATGTCATATGGACAAAACTTGGCGTCTATTTTGTGTTTTTAATAAACATATTTATATATATTTAGCAATCAATCATCGAGATCCCGTGATTTTCAGCATTTGGAACATACATTTCTCACATTTACCATTGTATCACTCAGTATGATAGACATTGATTTATTTCCGTGTCCTATTTCACTCGTATTTTCATAAAATTTCATTTCGAAATACCCCCCCCTTTTCCACTTCCGAATAAATGTGTCATTTCATTCTTTGCAAAAACAGGCTTTTTTTCGATTAATTTCTTCAATCATTAGATACTGGCATATTACCTTACTCTGTAGTTATTTGGAATTCAACACATGTCAGCGAATACTGTTGATGATTGATATCCTGGCATTCCTAACCCTCATTCCTTTCTGGGCTTACTAACGGCTATAGGATAGCAGACGAGATTGAGGAATGCTTCGTCGAAGGATCGAAACTGGACCGCCCGCATATTTGTCTAGCGTTGCATCATTGAACCACCGACATACTCGATATATTGTATTATTATCACCCTGGATTCCAAGTGGAACATACGACGTCAGAAGGACATTTCCAATTCGTCCTGTTCTTTGTGGTCCTTTTCAGCTGACTTCACAATAGCCCACAGGATCACATCTCCACCATGTCATCTGCAGATGCTCAACTCGTTGTTTCCCACTTAGGTTGCAGTTGAGTGATGGCCTGGAGGACGATTTCAGTCTTCAGTCTCCTCCGATCCATTTCCATTCTCTTGTACGCATTTGTTGAGCAATCGGCTCTGGATTGGTTCCTTCCCAGAGTTTCTTGCTGCTGATTCTCATCCGATCTTCAGTATAGAGCGAAGACAGCTGTTGTTAAAATTCTGCAATCTGTTAGGAATGTTTGTCGTGGCGAGCCATTTTACGGAGATTTAGAGAAGTGATTAACTTAACACTGGTGTTGAAAATGAAAACTTCTTTGTTTGTGTTGGGTACAAAAGACTTCCACACTGATTTCAGAGTAATGAATTTCTGTGTTGTCTATCCGACTCTGAGCTTCACTGACATTCACTTTGGTGGCGCCTGTAGTTGAAACGATGCTGCCTACCTAGGTGAAGGAAAAGATCTCTTTCTAGTTACTTCAGACAAATAAATTCTGTACAAGAGAAATCTGTAGTAAATATCTTACCATATGTAAATGTAGACTGCTTCTTGGTTCAAATCAAGTGAGATGCAAAAAGTCAAATGATAAGTATAAGAATAGAACTTGTGCTCTATGGTAGAGTATAATTCCATTGTGGGTAAAATTTATTTTGATAAAGTCTCACAGTGTCATACAGTAATATTTATTGGTGACTACGTTCCGAGTACAATTTATTACTGCTCATAATCATATCAAGGCACTACTCACACAACTTTCTATCTTCGTTTATATAATTCCATTATTTTTATCCTCGATTGATTCGATTGGCAGTATTATTTTCCATATTTCTTGTACTTGCATTGAGTCATTCCTATTGCACGTGTTGGGTGAAGATTCTATGAACAAATATTCATATCCATATGAGGAAATTAAGAAGCCTGTTGATACAATAATGAATAAGATTAAAAAATCTACAGCGAATTTAAAACGCCATATGAAGCCATCACTGGGTGAGTATAAATGGTTTAATTTAATGTCTAAAACTAATAACGCTAGCAGAATATGTGGTGCTATTAAAATATATAAACCAGGTTATCCCATATGACCAATAGTAGATTTAAGAAATACACCAACTTATGAATTATTAAAACACTAAGCTCTAATTCTACGTCCCACTAGAAATCATTCAAGCTCTAGGCTAATTAATTCATATGAAGTGAGAAGAAAACTAAATGACATTCAATTAGAGAATGATGGAACAGTGATTAGTTTTGATATGACTAGTCTATATACTACTATACCAATCAATATGGAAGCTTTATAAGCATTTAAAAGATAACTAATTGCAGATCCCGAACTTAGTCATAGGATCAAGCTGCCCTTTGAGGAAATTATCCTAGGAACTCAATTATGCCTCACATCTACTCTCTTTAAATTCCGAAGCAAATATATTGACAAACAGAAGGTATAGCAATGGGATCACCAATATCCCCTATCGTAGCAGATATCTTTGTGGACAGCTGGGAAAATATTACTCTCACTACATTTAATGCTACTCCAAAAATGTGGTGGAGATATGTGGATGACACTTTCACAGTGTTAAAAACAGAACATATCTCTAGCTTCTTGACACATATAAACTCACTAGTAGAGGGAATGAAATTCACATTTGAGCCGGAAAATGAACAAAGAAAATTAGCTATGTTAGATTGTAAAATAAAACGAATAGAAGAGAGTAGACTTCACACTAGCCTTTGTAAAAGCCAACGCATTCCATTAATAGATATTCAGACTTTAATTCATCACCTCATCCGTCAATTGTTAAAGCTGGCTTAGTTGTGTCTAGCAAACCGAGCAATGGCAATAAGTAGTGTTGGCGTTAAATTACTGTCCTATACAATTCCTTAGGAAGATTAGGAAAGCAAAATAAAAATAATGGTGAAACTAATAATGACAGCTTAAATAAGAGAGAATATAAGGCATCTACAATAGTTTTGCCATATAAGGAGGGGACATCTGAAACCCTCCCTACGTAGGATTCTTAAAAAAGCAGGAATCAGGGTGGCATTCAAACGTGCGAACTCACTCAGAGACAGGATCTGAAGGCTAAGGGACCCGGTGGACCCAATTAGACAAAATAATATAATTTACAAAATGCTCTGCAATAACTGTGAGTGAGGTAAGCTACAAAGGTGAAACTAGTAACTTGGGGGTAGTCAGATTGTGGGAACATAAGAATTTAGTTAGGGTTGTAATGATTGACCCAGCGAAAATAGGTAATTTAGTAAAGAACTCAGCAGTCGCACTGCGTGCATTAAAACAAAACCACACAATAGGGTGGGAGAGCGTTAAAATTCTAAAAGTTTTATATAGGTAGGTCAAGAGAGGTTGACTACTGAATCTTTGTTCATAGAATCTACCCCCAACATGCGCAACAGGAATAACCCAATGCAAGTACAAGAAATATGGAAAATACTACTACCAATCGAATCAATCGAGGATAAAAATAATGGAATTATATAAACGAAGATAGAAAGTTGTGTGAGTAGTGCCTTGATATGATTATGAGCAGTAATAAATTGTACTCGGAACGTAGTCACCAATAAATATTACTGTATGACACTGTGAGACTTTATCAAAATAAATTTTACCCACAAGTAATAAGTACTCATCTGACATTCATTCAAGCCTATTGTAGTGTTCTGTTTCGCAAACCGATTTCGTCTGAACGATATACCTACCTAAACATTTTAAGGTAAAGTGATCGTGAAGTAGATTGATATAATAAGTGTTTGCTTTAGCTGAAATAAAGAACTTAAAATATTTGTAAATGAGATAAATCTAGTTATCAGGATTGTTTTCCATTATTAGAATACATTGTAATATTTTTTCAGAGGATGTGGTTGCTACCTTAACACCCAGACTTCCCTCTTCACCGGTTTTACCACCAGCTAATCGAGTTATTATAAGTGCGTTGGACGGAAACCGAACATCAGACCATGTGTATAGTTGGCAAATATTGTGCCGTTGAACCACAGACGCCATAGTTGAACGGAAGACAGTCAGGGAGACAGACACTGTGTGATACCCTTGATAAGCGAGTGGCGTAAGGATTCTGAGGGATTTCTCTGCTTACATGATCTTTCATGAAATGATAGTCCCAAAATCTATAAGCAGGGCTTCGTTTGGATTGACGAATCTCTGGGTAACAGGCCGAGCACAGCTCCACTGTGCTCGAGTGCGCCAACAAAACTATTTATAAAAGATCAGTGAAGCCCCATATAAATGTATCCACCCACGCACTAGAATAAACTATAGCATTAGGCAGGAGCTACACATTAGTTTTATGATTAATATCGGTTGAATGTTTTAGTATTATATCAGTCTATTCAAGTAAGGGATATGCACTAATCAGATAGAACATTTCTAGGAGTTACATGACAGTGAAAATTTGTAATATGTATGATCATTTTCCACTTAGTTGAGTCTTTTTAAGCCTCAGTCATAACCAGATATGACTGCATGAAAACGATTAATATTTGATAATGGTCTGGCTTTTCTTTCGCATTCACTGCTGAAGTTTTGATTTCTGTTGATGCAATGTGAAAATAAAGTTATTTCAATGACCCACTTTGTATGTCTGTTATTAGCATTTATTAGCACCTTCCATTTGTAACTTTGTGGGGGAACTTTTGATTTCCCTTCAGGATTACAACTTGTTTCATTAGGCGCCAAAGTCTTCGACTTTAAAATCTTCAATAACTAAATAGTAATATCTCTGACTTCGACACTGGAAGATGCAAAAGAACATCCATCTGATTATTTTGTTTTATGAAAAGGACTGTTGTAGCGAAGAAAGTCTTCTTTTCGACGAAGTCGTCAACTAGGCTCTACATTCGAGTATCTATCGTAAATGGATGAGAAAGCTCCAGGGTTATTTCGGGTTAAAGGTCAAATTAATAAAATTACAAAGTGTAATCATTAGAAAGATCGAGTAGAAAGGACATAATAAGGTCATTATCATTGAAAAACTTGACTGTTTGTACAAATTGCGGATTAAGGATGTAGTAATAACAAAATAGCTAGGAAGTTGGGAAACATAAAACAAAAAAATAGCAACTAAATCTAGTAATGCAGATAGGAGTTAAAAGCGTAAAAATAACAGAAATAAATGGGGAAGCTAGACAAGAGAGGTAATTGGATATTCGTTATTGATGGGACTGGCTTTTCTTCATGACCATGATACGGAAAACAGTCGGACGTATTTCTTTTGAACAAGCTTAGTGGGCTTGAGTTTTGGATTGCTAGTGCCTCAACTATACCTAGATGCATTGATTTCACTCCCTTTGATAGATTTGAATGGAATTTGTATAAGACTTTAGAGGACTTTTTAGATGGAGCTGAATGCCCTGAATTCACCAGATGTTCTGTTACCGAACTGCATACACTTTTGCGTTCTCCCTTTGCTAAGCATGCTGGATAGTGTTCATGAGTGTGTCTTACAAGTGGATGAATGGTACGGCGAATGTATTTGGCTCCAGACAAGCTCCGAGTGAATTGATATATGCATGCTGAAGGAGCCCAATGCAGTAGCTTGTCTTTTATGCACTGGTTGAATAGTTTCTTGC